TGGAAATGGTGCAACAGAAGAGTCTTGGAGAGGCTACTCTTGCTGTTTTCCAGAATCCCAGCCTTCTAACAAACCAAGTTTGGTGGAGCTATCCCCATCTCTGCATATTGACAGACAGTGACAGGCAGCCAGACGAACCCAGGGACCCAGATTATGTCTTTTGCCAGTCTGATTCTAATGTCCCAGCCAGAGAACCTACAGTGGGTAGAATAAAAAGATTTTTCCTCCCTCTCCTACAATCATGACCTGTTGGGGTTTTTTTTTCATATTCCACAGCTTGTCCACATCATGATTTATTTAACCAGTAAAGATTTAAATTATTTCCAATTCTGATTTTTAAAATATGGCAGTTTCTAAACTGATAGCCAAGTCCTAGTACACAGCCGTCACTGTTTGTGAAAGGGCTTGGCCGTGTGCCACCCAAAGACGAGAACAGAGAATGGGAGGCTCAGGCTTTACTGAAACGGACAGAGACACACCTGGACCACCCCAAGACCGTGCCGGCACTCAGGGCAGGGCAGCTGGAGGCCTCTTTTTATACAGGAACATAGGGAGAGGATGGATGCCACTGCTTGTTGGAGGATTCTGGTGAGCTGGGGTCCTTTCCCAAGAACGGGACAGGGCTAGCTAGGCACTTTGTGTCGGGTGACCAGATTTTAACATCGGTAAGGTGGGACAACATGGCTCAGGGCAGGGGCAGGGCAGGGGACCCGGCAGGGCAGGGCCTGACAACAACGTAAACTTTGATAAGCAGTTCTGGATAAATACTTCTCAGCAATTATTTGTTATTATTACAGTTTAACATTATAAAATTAACAAAAATAATATAAAACTCATATTCTGGCGAAACCACCACATGGCAGCCAAAAACCGTCTATTCTCTTCTTGTTCTCCCACCCGTTCATGCATTCTTTCCAAAAATCGGGACTTTTTAAAAGCACCATGGGTTGCAGGACAAATTGTTGAATAGCAGGACTGTCCTGCCAAAAGCGGGACGTCTGGTCACCCTACCTTTGTGGTCTTTCATTCCAGGAGGGGAGGAGGAGGAGGGGGAGAGGAGGTAGGAAGAGGAGGGGGAAGAATGAAGGACGACAGAGCAGAGGGTTGTGTGAGGCTGCCTTAGCCTCCTAACAATTTCCTTGTGGCAAAATTATCCTCGTGGACCGATAGGTCAAAATCCAAATTTTTTTTTTAAGACAATCTCCCTTTGTTGCCCTCGGTAGAGTGTTCTAGCATCATAGCTCACAGCAACCTCAAACTCTTGGGTTAAGGTGATTCTCTTGCCTCAGCCTCCCAAGGAGCTGGGACTTTAGGCGCCCAGCACAGTGCCAGCTATTGTTAGAGACCGGGTCTGTCTCTGACTCAAGCTGGTCTCCAACTCTTCAAGCAATCCACCCCCCTGGGCCTCCCAGAATGCTGGGATTACAGGTGTGAGCCACTGTGATTGGCCTAAAATATGAGTATTTTCAACGCTTCTAATTCACACTGACAAATTGCCAACCAAAAACTACGGCCCTTTGCGGTTCTCCTGGCCATGCACAAGAAGGACCGTTTTTATCACCATCAACACCGTATGTTTTCACACAAGAAAACATATGACAAAAAGAGAGCTTTTTAAAAAGAAAGCTGAAAAAAGGGTATCTCCATTAAACTAAAATTTCTCTATTAATAAAACATGTTTTCATAGATTTTTTGTTCAATCGTGTTTCTTCTTTTGTGAATTGCTCCTTTTATGACCTTGACTATTTTAAAGTGTCTATCTTTTCTTTCTGCTCACAAAAATATTTAAATTCTAAGAAGATTAATTCTCATTGTGTATCTTTCAAATGATTCACTCCAGTTAGTGCCTCGTCTGTTTATTATTTTTTATGAGCTTTTGCACACAAAAGTTTTACATTTTTACAGGGTCAGATCTATCAATCCCTTCCATGATTTCTGTCCTGGAAACCATGCTCATCACTCAAACTTGAATGAGATGTGAGAGGAACAGAATTAATGTTTAAAAAAAAAAAATCATGGCTTGGCACCCATGCTCAGTGGTTAGGGAGCCAGCCACATACACCGAGGCTGGCAGGTTTGAACTGGACCAGCGCCTGCCAAACAACCATGACAACTACAACAACAGAATAGCCAGGTGTTGTGGTGGGTGCCTGTAGTCCCAGCTACTTGGGAGGCTGAGGCAAGAGAATCGCTTAAGCCCAAGAGTTTGAGGTTGCTGTGAGCTGTGATACCATGGTACTCTACTGAGGGTGACATAGTGAGACTCTGTCTTAAAAAGGAAAAAAAAATCAGAAGCTGCTCTTTGCATAAGAACTTAGGAAAAGCCATCAGGATATGAGATGATATGAGATGAAGCGGGGGTGGGGGGAGTGCCCCTAAAACCTAGGGTAGGTGAGCAATTGGCTGACACCATTTTGTGCAAACTAGAGCTGGGGAGTGGCTGGCTGGTCAGTGATTTAAAAGCAGGAAAGCTGGCCGGTCACAGAGGCTCACGCCTGTAATCCGAGCACTCTGGGAGGCCGAGGCGGGTGGATTGCCAGAGTTCAGGAGTTTGAGACCAGTCGGAGCCAGAGGGAGACCCCGTCCCTAAAAATAGCTGGGCATTGTGGTGGATGCTTGTAGTCCCAACTATTGGAGGGAGGCTGAGGCAAGAGGATCGCTTGAGCCCAGGAGTCTGAGGTTGCTGTGAGCTATGATGCCACAGTACTCTACCCAGGGTGACAGGGTAAGATTCTGTGTCAAACAAACAAACAAACAAAAAACTGAAGCAGGAAAGCTGCCTGCTAATTGTTTCTCAGGGTCAGCGTATACTTTTGAAAAAAACATGTCCTTTCCTTTAGGAACATTTGTTTTTAAGTAAGAGATATTGATTTACATTCCCTGTGATGCTGTATAAAGATCTCTGTTTCTCCACGCACTTGTGGCAATAACACGAGTTATCATCTTTTCTAATTTTGCCAGTCCGATGACGAAAACTCATATTGCATGACTCCAGTGCGTCTTTTGGTAACATCTGTGTATGATATTTCTTATGTACAGTATTTCTTCTGTAAACCGATTACTTATATCTTTTGCCCATTTGTAAAGTACATTTCCTTCTTGATGGATAGAAAATTAGCTGCATATCTTGAATATTAACAATTTGTCATATATATATTACAAATATCTTGTCATGTCTTTTCATTTTGTTCAATATCTCTTTGCTTATACATAAGTTTTACATTTTTATGTAGTCAGTTGTGTCCATCTTTCCTTTATTACTTATGGATTATATGTAAATAGGCCTTCCATACTCAAAGATAGAAAAATATCTTTCTATATTGTCTTTATCTTTATTGTAGGTGGTATTTTTTTCTTCTTTTTTACAGGGCCTTTGTATGTTGCCCAGGATCAAAGTCATGGGCTCAAGCGATCTTCCCATCTCAGCCTCCATAGTAGCTGGGACTGCAGGCACAAGCCACAGTATCCCGCACGTTATAGTTTATTGCATTGAAAATTTCAACCCAGGCTGGGCGCAGTGGCTCATGCCTCTAATCCTAGCACTCAGGGAGGTCAAAGTGGGTGGATTGCCTGAGCTCAGGAGTTTGAGACCAGCCGGAGCCAGAGTGAGACCCCTCCTCTAAAAATAGCTGGGCATCATGGTGGACAGCTATAGTCCCAGGTGCTTGGGAGGCTGAGGCAAGAGAATCACTTGAGCCCAAGAGTTTGAGCTTGCTGTGACCTATGACACCACAGCACTCTACTGAGCATGACAAAGTGAGACTCTGTCTCAAAAAATTTAAAAAAAAAAGAAAAAAGAAAATTTTAACCTAACTGTAATTTATTATTGTGAATGATGCTTACACAACCATGATGTGAATATATTTGGGCTTCCTTCTGCCCAGTGGTAACAAACGATTGCTTTGACTTAATTTCATTTCCTGGGCAACTTTCTGACAGATAATTTCCTTAATTGTACTTAAAGTTGAAAAAGAAAACAAGCATACTTGTAAGATTTTTACTTACTGCGTCCTAGAGAGTGAACAATGGGAAATTTCCTTTGGAAATCTGTGGTTGGGTTATTCCTTTCCTCTGCGATGGGCTCTCCAGGCATCTCGTCAGGGTCCGATCATCTCCTTGTCACCATCTCTCTCCTTGTTACCGTCTCTCTCCTTGTCACCGTCTCTCTCCTTGTCACCGTCTCTCTCCTTGTGTCAAAAATGTCCTCTTCTCTCCCAGTCCCCGGTCTCACTTCTTTTTTTCTCCTTTTCTCTTCCCTTCCTTAACCATGTGTAATGTTGCCACCTTAAACGTACTCAAATAATTTATTCTGGTGGTTTAATAGTATTTCATAGTGTCTGTGCTTCGTTGCTTGTTTTGGAACAGGTTTGTACTTACCTGTGAATTTCACTAGCGTTGTAACCTGGGCGCTAAACATAGAATGTGGGGATTGCCGGTATTTACGGCTGAGACTCCATTTGTTCTTTTTATCACAAAAACAATTTTAGGACATTAAAAACATCACTTTGAAAAGATCAAAAAATCCATTTCCTAACCATGCGATGTGCATCCACTTTTCGATAGCTTTCATGATACACGATACGTATTTGTATTCTGTGTTTCACTTAGTACCATTTACCCCCATCTCTACGGGGTTATGTGAAAGCCATGGAGCTGGGTGGAGAGAAGACTGTGTGGTTGAATAAGGCTCCTTGTTTATAATTATCCTGAGTGATTGACTTGGCTTCTCAATTCCTTTTCTCTTCTGTGGGAATAACATCCCCTATTTGGGGGTGGGGGGAGTTAGTGTTAAAATGAGACAAGAAAGTACACTCATCAACACACCTGCTTTGGCAAAAAGCACATCAGAAGGGTCGGTTTGCTCTGCGTGTGTGTTCTCTGCCACTGTAAAAAAAAAAAAAAAAGCACAAAAGAGAGGCTTGTGTGTGGTTAAGCTCTAGCGGAGTGGGGGTAGATTGAACCTGTCTTATTTCAGTTCCTTTGCATGAAGAGCTCAGAACTGCAAGAAGGAAACCAGCCCTTAAGATGAGCTTCCCATGTACAATTTTGGCCAGCTTTCTTCTAATTTTCAACTTTCCTACCAAAGGTAAGTTTGTTGGGGGGGGGCACTGTCATTGCCAGAAGCTTCTTGGGAGTCCCTGAAGTGAGCATAACCACTGAGGAGGACATAGCCCAGCTTTCCCTGGCAATGAATCCCAAGATCTCAGTACCTGTCTTACTCTTCACAGGTTCGGACTGCCAAGATAATATCTGGGGTGTCCTGGAGCAGGATATCAACTTGGAAATTCCTGGATTTCAAAAGAATGCTACTACCGATGATATACAGTGGAAAAAAGGATCAAACACCAACAAGATTGCACAATACAAAAAAGACAAGAAGGTTTTTCAGTTAAATGACACATATGAGGTATTTGAAAATGGAACCCTAAAAATTAAACGTCTGACGAAAAATTCTGAAGGTTGCTACAAGGTGGTAATATACAATACAAACGGGCAAAACATGTTGGAAAGATCATTTAATTTGAAGACTTTAGGTAAGTGTTCATTTGCTACATTTCTTCATGTCCGCATGGGTTCGACTTAGCAAGTTGGAAAATAACATTTCCATTCTTCAGCCATGACCTCTGCCTCCGGGGGGCCCTGAAGGACATCAAATGCAACCCTCTGCCCCCATGGAGATTCCAGGCCTACGGGAGGGCAGAATCCACACATCTGATAGACTCTCAAGTTTATCGCCTACAACCCTTTCTCTTCAGGGGATGTGGGGCTGGGTGAAGAAGCTAGATGCAGGTGGCATTAATCAGGAGGGGAACAGGTGGCCAGAGGAAAATCGTGGGTGAGTTCAAAAGGGCAAGCTAAGTGCTTGGCCTAGAGAGTAGTGGGTCTGTCATCTGAAGAGCCAGCTTCAAGCCACAGTGCCTTGAAGGAGCAATTATGGGGCAAGAAAGGTCTGGAAACAACACATGTCAGGATAAACAGCCCTTGTTTTATATCTGTTCAATGTCAGAGAGATCAAAGATGGAAGGGAACTTTTGCCAATGTGTGTAGAAAATATACAAGATGTAGCTTTGTGTGCCTGTATTTATACTGGGAGGGCAGGAGTGGATAGTGAAGACGGGAGAGGGGAAACCAACCAGAGAGCTGCTGCTGTAAACCAAGTGGAATGGGGAAGGACCGGCTGGTGATTCTTAACCCTGGTTGCACATCAGAATCAACAGGGATGCTATTAAAAGTCACCAGTGCCCAGGCCCCATCCTAGACCAATTAAATCAAGAATGTGGGACGTGGAGCCTGGGCATCTGGAGGTTCTAAATTTCCCTGGGATGTTCTAATGAGCAGCCAAGCTTGGCAACCATGAGCTGAGACAAAAGGTTGCCTAGGAAATGAGGAAGAAAATGCATGCCAAGGGTCATGTGGGAGACAGGTCCAACACGTGGCTCGGGTGAGGGAGAGAAGGAAGAGAAAGTGAAATTGAAATGCTGTTAAAGCTGAAAGTCCAGGAACACTGCACAGGAGGGAGTGACCAGAAGGGAGAAGAGGAAGCTGCTTTGGGCTTGGAGAGGAAGACAGGAGCCCCAGGACATACTTGGCCCTCCCATGAGCAAATAAACACTGCTGGGCTTCACACAGGAAATGTCCCCACAGGCAGGGCCCCTCTGCCACCTGGGCTGCCTCCAGCCCTGTCCTCAGCCCCACTCCAGCCATCCCAGACATCGATCGCTTCATGTAGTGGCACTTTCCACACCTGAGTCCTGCAGCCTAGAATGGAAAGCACTTCCCAGAAATGGGATGGGGCTGAGAATGGCAGCAGCAGGGACCTCCCATTGTGGAGACCAGGATCTGGACACAAGTGTCCTGTTTGGAGCAGAAGCCCTACACAAAGGGGCCATGCTGGTGCTTTCACGTGCTGGTCTGGTTTGGTGTCCTGGTGGTAAGAAAGGCTGCCAGCCGGTGCTCACTTGCAGATCTTGTTTAGAGGTAGTTGTTACTGTCCCCTGATTATCTCAGAGAAAACAGACACTTTGTCCAAAGTCTCCTTGCTTCACAAGAGCAAAGTCAGTCTTCAACCCCAGGGGTGCTTTTGGCAAGGATGGCCTTTTTCTTTTATCCCCAAATGGCGTCATTGAGATATAATTCACATACCTTCCATTTAAAGTGTGCAGTCCTGCCAGCGAGGTGGCTCATGCCTATAATCCTAGCACTCTGTGAGGCCGAGGTGCATGGATTGCAGGTTCAAGACCTATCCAAGCAAGAGCAAGACCTTGTCTCTAAAAATAGCCAGGCATTGTGGCGGGTGCCTGTGGTCCCAGCTACTTGGGAGGCTGAGGCAAGAGAATCACTTCAGCCCAAGAGTCTGAGGTTGCTGTGAGCTATAACACCATGGCACTGTACCAAGGCTGACATAGTGAGACTCTATTTCAAAACAAAATTAAAAAATATATAAAAACAAATAAAAATAAAGTGTGCAGTTCCATGGCTTTTAGTATATGCACAGAGTTGGGCATACATCACCACAGTCAACATTTTTATTACCCCCAAAGAACTCACCACATCCCTTAGCCTAAAGATGGCGCCTGGCTGCCCTGTGTGGACATGTCAATGTCACACAGCCTCTTAACTTATGGTCTGGTAACCATTCTTTGTCACATGGCTTTGGGAAAATTCCCTATCAGCTCTGAATCTGATTTTTCTCAATAATAACTTCAAGAGATATTTGATGAGACAATATGTTTAAAAGTGGCCTGCAGTGCCCGGGGCACAGTCCCCATTGCCCAGTACTAATGCCACCTGTATCTCTTTGTCTCTCCAACCTTCTCAAGTGCCCGTCATGATGCCCTTAATGAAAGGCCTGCTGCTGTGGGTAGAGAAAGGCCGCGTAGAAGCAGGTGCTGGTGGAGAAGGGGTTAGCAACTCAGAAGTAAGGAGATCTCACTCCGAGAAGGCCTTCCCAATGGGCTCCTAGGATCAGGCCAGGGAGCATGTGTGTAGAGGTCTCACCACAGAAGGGCTCTCATGGGTGTGGAACAGATTTAAAGGTCTCCAGCAGTTAGAAATGTATTAATTAAATTAAGAATTTGTCATTTTAAAAAAGATGACGGAGATATATATTTATTGGCATTCTTAAAGGAAAGAATTCATAACATAATTTCACATTAAGGGGGAAAAGGCAGACTATAAAATCACATAATCCAGTTTTAGTTTTTCAAATGTTACATTATTTATATGTGTGTGTACCCACAGAGAATATCTGGTAAAGACATACATCAGAATATTGTTATTTACTTTAGGTAGTGGAATTGGGGATACTTTTTAATCTGCTTTAAACTTCTAAAATATTTTATCAATTTTTACAATGATTAGATGTTACAGTTTTAAGTAGAGAAAGAATATTTGCATTTTGGTCTGGGTGTGGTGGTTCATGCCTGTAATCCTAGCACTCTGGGAGGCTGAGGCAGAAGGATTACTTGAGTCCAGGAGTTTGAGGTTGCTGCCAGTTAGGCTGAGGCTGGGGCACGCTGGCCCACACAATGGAGAGAGGCTCGGCACTATTGTTGTTGGTGGATGTTTTCCCATTTTCTTCATTCTGGGTAACGTAGAATCTTGGGATGGGCAGAAAATCTAATTTCTACATGCCTCTATACAGTATATTGGCATAGAAATGAAATTTGTCTGGGATGGTCCATGGAGATACTGGTGTCTAGAAGTCAGAGTGGGAGGGAATTACTGAAAAATAAGCTGTCCGTCTGCATTATAAATGCAGAGAATCTGAGAGGAAAGGTGGCAAGTCTGGGGAAGGAGAGTAAAGAATGAGAGAAAGAACAGACGAAAAAGGAGAAGGTCACACAACCTGTGTGATACCAAGGCCTAGCCTCTTTTCTTTTACAAAGCAGCTTTTTTTTTTTTTTTTTTTTTTGAGACAGAATCTCAAGCTGTCACCTTGAGTAGAGTGCTGTGGCGTCATAGCTCAGAGCAAACTCAAACTCTTGGGCTTAAGTGATTCTCTTGCCTCAATCTCCCAAGTAGCTGGGACTACAGGCACCTGCCGCAATGCCTGGCTATTTTGTTGTTGTTTTTATTATTGTTGTTGTTGTAGTTGTCATTGTTTAGCAGGCCTGGGCTGGATTTGAACCCACCAGCTACAGTGTATGTGGCTGGTGCCCTAGCCCCTGAGCTATAGGCACTGAGCTGTACAAAGCAGCTTCTAATAAATATTACCATGTCAGAAAAAGAGAGGCAAGAAACTTATGATTAATGAGCGCAAGAACTACCATTAATTGTGTCAGTACCTAATAGTTTGCCCAGGGCTTTGCCACATGTTGTCCCTTTTGTGATGGGCAGGGAATATTTTTCTTATCCTTTTCTTATAGACAAGGTCTTAGCGCTGGGAAAGGCAGAAACATGTCCCGTTTCCCAGGCTGGTGCCTTTTCTCTCTAGAGCCTTGAGCTTCCTGGATACCTACACACTGCCAGGCCCCCCACTTGGCACTCTGAACCCTGTTGGGGACAGGGAGCAACCAAGATCCCAGGCCACTCATGTGGTGACTCCTGCCAGGCAGGGTTCCTGGCTGCTCCTAGAGCATTGCCTCTCTCAAGCTCTTGAGGTGAGTGGGGATCAGGACATTGTGACGCTCTTACCCATTTTCTTGAACTTGGACTCAAAAGGGCAGTCTCCTCTCCTGATATGCTACTGTTAGGTGGTGCCCTAAGACTACCTAAATAGGTAGGTGTTTTCACCTATAAACAGGAAGAAAAACACCAGCCTCTCTGCTTCTTAGGATTAAATGGTATCATGTATGTGAGAAAACATTTTAAGGCATAAGACAGCACATGAACATTAGCCGCGACATCCTTTTTTATTGGTGTAATACATCTATGCGCCTTTACCAGAAATAAATTTGTTCTGAATATTCAATGTAAATAAAATAAAATTTTCAGAAGTTGCTAAGGGTTTTGCTGGAGGTTCACACCTGTACTCCTAGCACCCTGGGAAGCTGAGGCAGGTGGAGACCAGCATGAGAAAGAGCAAGACACCATCTCTACTAAAAATAGAAAAACTAGCTGGGTGTTGTGGTGAGCATGTGATCACAGCTTGGGGACTTTGAGTTTGCTGTGAGCAATGATGACGCCATGGCACTCTATCCAGGGCGATGGAGTAAAACACTGCCTTAAAAAAAAAAAGTTGCTAAGGGTCTTTGAAATTGTTTCTTTATCCCAAACTAAATCCATTCCTCCCTGTGTTAATAGGTATGTCTATTAAAATTAGAAAATTGCCTAATACGTGAATTGGATCTTTATTTTCCTTTTAGAGTTGGTCTCAAAACCAAACATCTTCTGGGACTGTGTCAACCGAACCTTGATCTGTAATATAACGAAAGGAAGTCACTTTGAATTAAGGCTGATTCAAAATACGAAAAATCTCACGAAAAGTTTTGTTAAGACCGTCAAATACAAGTGGTCCACCAACCCGAGTGGGGTAGTCAAGTGTACGGCACAGAACTATCTCAGCGAGGAATCTGTCCTGGTGCCCCTCGTCTGTCCAGGTACGTGGTCGGCATCTCCTCACAAATACAGCCTGCCAGGCCCACAGCAGGCAGAGAGGGGCAGACTGCAGGGCACAGGTGTCTGGGCTGGGAGGTGGCCTTGGCTCAGGATGAGAAGTGAAAATGTCCCTTTTCCTCTGGAAACCTATAAAGGAAGCCTCAGAGGAGGTGGCACCTTCTGATCCCCTATCATGCCAGTCCTCCCATTGAGCACAGTTTGACCCCAAGCAATTAAAAAGATCTTGGGAAGAAAGAACTACAGAATTGAAGAGGAAGATTTTAGTATGTTCCAAATACTGCACAGAACATAGGTATGCTAGAAATTATCCATAGTTTATCTTGAAATTCAAATTTAACTGGATGTCTTATATTTTATCTGGTAACCCTACTCTTTATGTTTATTTTAAGGCCCCACAGTATAAAAATGTGCATGTGTGTATAAGGGAGAGAAGGTGGGAGGGAAGGAGGACCTTAAGAGAAGCCAAATTTTGCAGGCTGGAAGATTTCTAGGAGAGAGGCACAGACCCAGACACGTGGAAGTACTCCATCACATCAGCTTACAGAGAGACTGTAGGAAGATAATGTCATTGGATTTAGGGACATAGTTTTGAAGGACAGAGCCACAAAAGACTTGCTTCTGAGACCAATTGGAATGTTCTCCACCACAGGTGCCCCAAGGGGCCACAGTAAACAAACCCGAGAACAGACTGTGTCAGCACTGGCTTCATTCCAGAGTGTGCCCAAGGTAAGGGTGTGTGGCCACCCTGCCTCAGGACGCTAAGGTGAGCTGGTGGCTGCCTGACTTAGCCACCTGCTACCCATTGCCCTACTCTGGGTCAAATCTTTAAAGTTCTCAGCCCAGCAGGCAGTAGATTCTGGCAGCCCCTCCTCTAAGCCAGCAGGCCCAGAGGGCCCTGAGTCCTTTCTGGGGTCAGTCACACAGGTTTGGGTTAGGATTACACCTGCTTCTCTCATGGACGCCCCATTCATTGGTAGAACATAGATTATAAGCTGTATAACGGGCAGGCAAAGAACGAGGCAGAGACTTGAGGAAAGAAAACCAAGGATGAACAGATGACCGCAGTTTAATTACCTGCTAAATTTGATTTCTGGGGCCTCTGGCCTGCTCCTTGGGGCCCCTCCTGGGCTTCATATACAAGAGTTTCTTCCTAGGATTGTTTGGCTGGAGAAGCATTTCTTTTGTGACACTGGGCCAAGCTCCAGTTTGTCCTCCAGATGTCCCCGGCCCCTGTCCCCTCAGCCCCGGGCCCCACTGCGGCCTCTCTCACTGCACTGATTCACAAAGGGCAGACAGCCCAGTGCCCCTCCTGGGAAATACCTCCCAGAAACACCAGCGCAAAAAGCACTCTTAAGAGCGAGACCTCACATTTGTGTGTTGTTTTACAGTTTACAAAGCGCTTTCACATCCATTATCTGATTGACTTCCAACAGCCACCCTGTAATGTAGGTTTCACTATCTCCATCTTGCAAAGAAGGAAACAGCCTCTGAGAGCTGAAGTGAGTGCCAAGCGTCATATGGCTCTTGCCTAGAAGGGCCTGGACCCAAACCCATTTCCTGTAATGCTGAAATTATTGTTTTTAAGATCTGGGAAGTTAGTCCTCCACTGTGGCTAACTCCATGCGTGTCTGAGTTTCCCTTGTGGGTCCCAGGAAAATCTGGGAGGGTGTACTGGCTGTGAGGTCAGGGTGCTGGGCTGGACCTATGAAATATTCACCCTGCAGGTTTGCAAACTGCCTGGTCAAGATGGTGAGAAAGTCATGTTGCAGGAAGGAAGCCAGAGAGCAGAGTGGGATAGATAGTGAGGGAGCATTAAGGTTTACGGGGCTGCCCAGGAGCAGGTGCAGCCGGGCCTCAGACAACTCATCCTTCTTCTTGTGGCCTCATTTTGAAACTAGAGGTTACACTATGGTATCTCTCGACTCCTCAGATCTAAAATTCCATGATGCTCTCCATGATGGGGGGAGTGGACAGGCCTTCCCACATGAGTAATCAGATAAGTCTAGTCTAGTCTACAAGAGCAATTTCCCAAGGGGCATGCCAAGGGGGCTTTCCCAGGACCCGGGGCCCTTCCACGGATTGACACAACTCACCATCCTCCATGACCTTGGCCTCAGTGAGACTAAAAGTTTCCAAGGAGATCTTTTACCTGCATGACGCAGGAGGCAGCATCCTTGGCCAGAGCAATGAAGTTACCCTCTGTCTGGGCTGCTCTTTCTTTTTTTTTTTCCGTTTTACTATCTATATATTTTGGGGGGGGGGGAATTCATTGAGGGTATAAGAAACCAGGTTACACTGATTACATTTGTTAGGTAAAGTCCCTGTTTTAATTGTGTCTTGCCCCCAAAAGTTGTGGCACACACCGAGACCCCCCTTCCCTCTCTCTGCTCTTCCTTTCCCCATCCCCCTCCCTCCTTCTCTCTCTCTCTCTTTCTCTGCTTCCTCTTCCCCCAACCCCCACCGTGTACTAGGTCATTAATTGTCTTCATATGAGAATTGAATACATTGGGCATGTATTCAATTCTTGCTTCTCCATTCTTGTGATGCTTTACTAAGAGTAATGTGTTGCATTTCCATCCAGGTTAATACAAAGGGTGTAAAGGCTGCATCTTTTTAATGGCTGAATAGTATTCCATGGTGTACATATACCACAGCTTGTTAATCCATTCCTGGGTTGGTGGGCATTTAGGCTGTTTTCACTTTTTGGCGATTGTAAATTAAGCTGTGATAAACAGGCTAGTGCAAGTGTCCTTATGGTAAAAGGATTTTTATCCTTTTGGATAGATGCCTAGTAATGGGATTGTAGGAACAAATGGGAGGTCTAGTTTGAGTTCTTTGAGGGTTCTCCATACTTCCTGGTCCCGCTCTTTCTTTTTTCTCTTTTTAATAGAAATAGTCTTGCTCAGGCTGGAGTGCTAGGTACCATCATAGTTCACTGCAGCTTGAGCTCATGGGCTCATGTGATCCTCCTGCCCAGTAGCTAGGACTACAGTTGTATGCCCTATAGCAGACTAATTTTTAAAATTTTTTTAAATTATTTTTTATTAAATCATAACTTTGTACATTGATGCATTTATGGGGTTCAGGGTACTGCTTCGATATACAATGTGAAAAGCTTGCATTGAACTAAGTAACACATCCATCACAATTATACCCATTTCTTAATAGTTTTGAAATGTACCATTGCATCATGAACATTAGGTGAGGTCCCCCCAAAATTGTTAAAAATTTTTATAGAGATGAGGTCTTGCTATGTTGCCCAGGATGGTCTTGAACTGCTGGCCTCAAGCCCATCCTCCTGCCTCAGCCTCCCAAAGTGCTGAGATTGCAGTCTGGAACCACCGTCCCCTCATCCCCATCCTCCTCTCACAGGGAAAGGCCTGGACATGCATCTCATCATCGGCATCTCTGTAGGGGGCAGCCTGTTGATAATCTTTGTGGCACTGCTCATTTTCTACATCAGCAAGAGGAGAAGGCAGAACAGCAGGAGAAATGGTAAGCTCCCCTTCCTCCGCCCTACCACAGGCCCCAGCAAAATCCCCGTGAAATATCTCATGAGGACAATACCTTGGGCTTGTTGAAAGTAATGGAGACAGGTAGTTTCAAAATGTCAGGGTTGTAACTGGTGGTTGTAACTTGTTTCATTTCGAGATCAGCTTGATTTTTGAAAAGCAAATTCTTCCTAGTGACATGTGGGAACTTTGAGGTGCTGAGTACAGTCCAGCATCACTGGAGTCCCCTGAGGCCTGCTGGGCACAGCTAGTGTGGATACATTCTCAAGGAGCCACACAGCCCTACGTGGGTAGAAAGGGTCAAAACACCATTTCTAGGAACAACTGTCTTGTGCGTGCAGGGCCCAAGGTGTGTTCAGGGCCAAACTCCTAGGAACACAGGTAAAATCACTCACAAAAAACCAGTTGTTCTAAACCAGGCTGACTGTGCCTCCTTTTCTAATTTGCCATTCAGGAAAGAGTGTTTTTTCCCCTCAGATCAAGGCTGTCCAACGACTGACCCACCAAAACTAAAAGGCTGTGCCCATTAGTGAGGAGCTGGCTGAGGCGTCTTGCAGGCCACCCAAGGCAGGACACATCAGAGACCAACAAAATAGGAGTGGCCCCAGGGTGGGGCTGGGGGGTCAGCCATCAGCAGGACAGGGTGTGCAGCGGGCAGGCCTGCCTGGGGCTCAGGGCAATCTCACACTCACCGAGGGACTGGGTCTGCTCTGGGGGGTGTCTCTCCCTGGAGCAGGCCGGGCACACTCACACCAGCTACTCCCACCAAGGCCCAGGGTTTGGGTCTGAACCTCCCCAGGCAGCCGTGGCGTTTGGCTCTAGCTTTCCGACCTCAGACTTCTCTTGGCAGTTCTCCTGCAGTCACCCCTTCAGGCTGCAGCCGCCTCTCAGCCCCACGTCCCATCACCTCACTGTCTCCAGCCTGGGCCTGAAGCATCTTCCTAAACTTAGCACCCATTTTTCCTGCCACCATAGTTCCGCAGTCTCCATTCCAGCACAGTCCATGGGCACAGGTGGCTTCCTCTCTTCCGTGCCCTGCTCTCCAGGGAGGCTTTCTCCACACCAAGGGTCAAAGACCACACATTCTTCCAAGGTGGACTTCACATGTCACCCCAACCCTAGGCAATCTCGGCTGTCCACAGGCTGAAAAGACCAACGTGATGACCAGCTTATGCTGACAAAGAAGTCACTTGCGCCAGGCACAAATCTCTGTGCTTTATATTCATTATTGCCTCCCGCTTTCAGTGGAATTGTAGGAGGAAGATACATTCACACAGATGAGGAAGCTTAAGCTCAGTGAGGTTTAATAATTCTCTTCTAATCCTATGGTCGGGAGACAGAGTCAGGACCAGGCTGAGGCAGGGAGCCCAGGGTGCAGATCTCCGTTGTTCCGTCTGCCGGTCCTGCCCTGGCAGGAGCCTGAGAGCAGATGCCTCCTTAGATTTCCTTCCCCCTCTGCCTCACCTGCCTCATTCTAGTCCAAGCCCTGAGTTAGGTATGCAGGAATTGCAAACGAGGGAGCAGACAGAGAGCCTGGGAGAGCAGAAGTCTAGGCGGGAAGCTGCTGTACAGATGTGCTGGGGACCCACAGTCCTGCTCTGACCAGGCAAGTTGCTAGCCTCGTCTGCCCAGCCTGGCCAGTGGTCTCAGCCACGCGGCTGCCCCCTCTGCTCCCACCACAGCTCAGCCTCTGTCTACACAAACTCGTAGCCCCGGGCTCTCCCTGGAAAGTGACAATAGTAACTTATAGTTTTAGTTCATCTCACTCTCTTGACTTTAGGGTTCCTGAAGATAGTGTTGGTGTGCCAGTTCCTGTGCTACTCAGCAAGGACACTTAACACCTGTGGGATGAGGAATGAAGTTGGGAGAACAAATGAACAAAGTGGTGGATAAGCAGAGCTGGAGACACAAGGTCCAAGCTGGCCATGGAAGAGATGAGAAAGGATCACCCATTGCCCCACAGTGGGGAACTGGGTCAAGGTCAAAGTCCCCTCCACAGCCTCCTGGGTGTAACCTCACCTACCCTGAGGTCATGAAGATGGCATAGGCAATGTGTTTTGTCCCTCTGGGCCTTTTTGTCTTGTGCCTAGAGCACACAGGCCACTCAGATGTCAAAATCACATTGTCTGATGTTGACTCTTCTCATTTGAAGCTGCCTGATGCTTGTATTCCCAGTAGTCAGGGAGGCCATTTGGATTGATGTCATCACCTTGAAGTCACAGGGTGTTGTGTTTCCCCAGCCACGTGTCCCTATAATGGTGTAAGAGATCATTAATTTACCCCAGGAAGGATCTTCTGTTTCTACCTCCATCCAGGGCCATTGCAATCATGGCCTTGGGTGCAGGGACTAGAACATTTAACTTGTAGACTAAAGGAGGCCAGAGGGGCCATCAGGGCCCTCCAGGCTTATAGTAGCTGGGCACCCTCACAGATATCCCATGTGATTCCAGGACACTACAGTAAACACTTCATTACTATTATTCATGGCCCTAACTTCATGGACTAAAATTATTGTCGCTCAAAGCAGAAAATCATGGAGGATGAGGAAGGAGGAATTCATTCCCTCCTAAATCGAAGATAGGTCATGAATTTCTGAGGAACTAGTGTTCTAACCTCTTGCCAGAATGTGGGTAGCATGACAGCAGATTGAGTGGAGGGCAGTTCTAACATAGAAACCCATCGAAAGCAATGTTGTTCCTAATATCCTCCGTGACTACTCAGATTCCATTACCATGTGCTCTAACCACAAGGTTCTTGCTCTCAAGGCAGACACTAGGATGGCACAGAGGCAGGGCTCTGGGATCTGGTGTTCCAGGGAGCCCCAGGCACGAAGCCCACCCCCTGTGTGTCTTCTTTCCTCTGGTTCCCTGAGTTCTCCAAAGTCCCGGGCCCTCCCTCTACCTTGCAGTGAGCACTTCTGTCTCTCTGACAAGACCCAGAGCTCTTGGCGGCCAGGGGGCAGCTTCTGCTTCCTCATTGCATCCCCGAAGTGTGCCAGCCTGACTCCCTACATGGATGTCTGCGCTGGCTGCATCTTGCCGAGATGAACTGTGCAAAGGTTTTGTTGTTGCAGATGAGGAGGTGGAGATACCAGTACACAGAGCTAACACCGAGGAAAGGAGCCAGAAGCCCCACCAAATTCCAGCCTCAGTTCCTCAAAATCCAGCTGCCTCCCAGCCGCCTCCACCACTTGGTCATCGTTCTCAGACATCTGGTCCTCGTCCCTTGCCTCCTGGCCACCGTGCTCAGCACCAGCCTCAGAGGAGGCCTCCTCCGGGCACACAAGTTCATCAGCACAAAGGCCCACCACTCCCCAGGCCTCGGGTTCAACCGAAACCTCCCCATGGGGCTACAGAAAACTCGACGTCCCCTTCCTCTAATTAAAAGCTATAGAGACGGTTCTTCCTAGTAAAAGGCACTGTGGATTCCTCTGGCCGCTGTGCACACTCTCACTTCTGCCAGGTGTTGAGCCAAGCATTACCATGTCCCGATGCTCCCGGGCCACCTCTGCACCTTCTGACTCGCTGTGTGTTGACATCCAGAAGGGAAAACAACCAACATGGGAAGGTGGTGGGTGACTGAACACCACAACCTTAGCTCTCTCTCGCCTTCTCTCAGATCGTGTGCAGATGAGATCGGTTGAGAGGATGTCATGCTTGGGTGTCCCTACGGCAGACTGCCTGCTTGAGAGACTCTCGGGCTTCTTATGTGCCCTGGTGGACACTTGCCACTGTCCTGTGAGAAGTGAAATAAAAGCTTTAACTTAACCTCTGTCTGCTCATTGTCAAAACGGGTTAAGAGGAAGCTGCTGAATGTAAGAGGCTTCTGGGTGTGACAACAGGATCAAATTTGGTAAGCTCCGTTCACTTGAGCCACTTTAGTCCTAATTAAAATGACCAGAATATGCTCCCAGGTCCCTGTTGCAAAGCTGGGCCCAATAACCTATTTGTAGATTTGCGTAATGAATTGAAGCCTCTACGCCCAAACGTCAATGGAGGCACCCAACAATTTAATCTTTTTCGTCTCCTTTCCTTGACTGTTCAGACATGGTCACAATGACCTGTAGTGTCATCCTTGAAAAGAAGGGTGTGTCCGTGAATACTTGAGGTGCCACAAGATCATCACATGACACAAAAGGGTTGGTTTGGAGATGAGTTGGTTGAAGCAAATCTTAAGTGCCTTGAATGACCATAACTAAAAGGTCAGACCCCATCCCCAGCTAGAAGTCATGCTCGCTCTACTTTGGGGGACATGGGGGAGGGACTGATTTTAGTTAAAGTCTGAAAACAGTAGGTGGTAGGAGGCACCTTGCTTTGACGTGTCAGTGCCATGTTTGTGGTCCATCCGCCCGCCTCTCCTTGGCTTCTTAGACTTGCTGAACATTGTTAAGTTCTGGCAGGAAGCTCTGAGGTCTAAACCACAAAGGCAAGTTTATTCAGGACTTCCTGTGCCAGCTCACTAAGAGTTGAACTGCTCTTTTTTCTGAATCTAAGAATCTTTTGTTTTACCATCCAGAGTTAATTACTAAGGACAGTGATGAATGAAGCCTCACAGCCTCTTGAAATTCAAACACAACATCCAGCTAGTGACAACCACCATCCATGGGATCTCCCCAGGGGGAGAGATGAGGGTCCCAGCACTGCCCCTTTCCCATTCTTCATGGCGGTCTTGGATGATGCCATCATTCCCTTCAGAAAGCCTTCCTGGCCTTCTGGTCTTGAGCTCTGCCTTTCTGCTGAAGTCCTGTGGTGTCACACATGGCACAGAGTACACGCTACCATTCTTTCATTCATTGAAATTCTACTATGTGTCAGGTGCTGTGCTGGGCCCTAGGAACACAGAGGTATGCAATTGCATCTCCGCTTTCAAGGAGCTCACAATCTAGTGGGGGAGGGTGGACAAATGTAACACAGCATGATGGATAAATATAGGCCAGAGGCAAGCACAGGAACCCGGAGGAAGAACTTTGAACCCAGATTGGGTGGTGGAACTGGGGTGACACAGAGGGCTTCCGGGAACAGTGATGACTCTTCTGAGAGTCATCAGAGAGGTGGGATCATGAGGCAAACCACTGCACCCAAAATTGGAGAAACCAATAGGCGGAGGCAGAAAATTATGCCTTGCCAGAGCAGAAACCCTGAGTAGAAATGTCCACAGCAGCCAGGCAGGCAGCAAGGCCTGAACTGTGACCGAAGAATTGCTGGGGTCTAGTCTGAACAAGTCTGAAAAACTCCAAGAGGAGGCCAGCTATGGAGGGGTCCCCACACTCTTGTGAGTTTTGCCTCCAGGAGTTCAAACAGATTCTCACAATGGTGTTGAAGAAAAATCTCCTTGTACCACCTACAGTGGGGGGCGGGGGAAGTGACTACAGTCCTCTCTCAGTGCACATGGGGACAACTTCCCCTCACCCCACAGATATCCAAATCTGCACATACTCAAGCCCCGCAGTCGGCCCTGCAGAACTCACACAGATGTGGTGGTTTTGAATTCTGTGAATCCTGTGCGTTCAGTCTGTGTTTGGAAAACAAACTCACGTAGAAGTGGACCCACACAGTTCAAATACATTTTGTTCAAGAGTCAGCTGTATTTTGAACTATGCCAGGTATTTTGTTCTTCTTAATAAGATCTTCCTTCGGGAGAAACTATTTAACAAGAGCCTAAGCTGTGAGGATTTTTTTTTTTTTTGGAGACAGAGTCTCACTTTGTCATCCTCAGTAGGGTGCTGTGGTGTCACAGCAACCTCAAACTCTTGGGCTCAAGTGATTTTCTTGCCTCAGCCTCCCAAGTAGCTGGGACTACAGGTGCCCACCACAATGTCTGGCTATTTTTTAAAGACAGGGTCTTGCTCTTGCTCAGGCTGATCTTGAACTCATGAGCTCAAACAATCCACCTGCCTCAGCCTCCCAGAGTGTGGGGATTATAGGCGTGAGCCACTGTGCCTGGCCAGCTGTGAGGATTTGTGTATGTGTGTGTGTGTGAGACTCCATAGCTCTTTTATTTTATCACTGAATCAAATAACATTGTGTGAATATACCACAGTTTGTCTATCCCTTTACCTATTGAAGGATACCTTGGTTGCTTCCAAGTTTCGGCAATTAGGCTTTTTTTTTTAAGGGTTTCTTTCTTTTTTTTTTTTTTTTATTGTTGGAGAATCATTGAGAGTACAAAGAATCAAGTTACATTGCCTGCATTTGTTAGGTAAAGTCCTTCTCATAATTGTGTCCCACCCCCAAGAGGTGTGTCACATAATGAGACTCCCCCCTCCTTCCTTCTCTCTGGTCCCCCAATTCCCCACCCCCACTGTGTACTGGCATCAATCGTCCTTATACCAGAATTGAGCACATTGGATTATTGCTTCTCCATTCTTGTGATGCTTTACTGAGAAGAATGTGTTTCAACTCCATCCAGGTTAATATAAAAGATGTAAAGTCACCATCTTTCTTAGTGGCTGAATACTATTCTATGGTACACGTATACCACAGCTTGTTAATCTATTCCTGGGTTGGTGGGCATTTAGGTTGTTTCCACAATCTGGCAATTGTAAATTGAGATGCAGTAAACATTCTGGTGTAAATGTCCTTATGATAAAAGGAGTTTTATTCTTCTGGGTAGATGCCCAGTAATGGAATTGCAAGATCAAATGGAAGGTCTAATTTGAGTTCTTTGAGGTTCCTCCATACTTCCTTCCAAAAAGGTTGTATTAGTTTGCAGTCCCACCAGCAGTGTAAAAGTGTTCCCTTCTCTTTATATCTATGCCAGCTTTTGCAACTTTGAGATGTGGGCCATTCTCACTGGAGTTAGGTGATATCTCAGGGTGGTTTTGATTTGCATTTCTCTAATGATTAGTGACAATGAGCATTTTTTCTTATGTTTGTTAGCCATTCATCTGTCTTCTTTAGAGAAGGTTCTATTCATCTCACTTTCCCATTGATATAAGTAATTGTTGGCTCTTGTTTTGTTTCTTAATTTGAGTTCTCTGTAGATTCTAGTTATAAAACTTTTGTCCAATTCATAATATGAAAATATCTTTTCACATTCTGATGGTTGTCTATTTGCTTTGGTTGTTGTCTCCGTAGGTGTATAGAAGCTATTCAATTTAATTAAGTCTCATTTGTTTATTTTTTTTGTTGTTGCAATTGCCATTAGAGTCTTCTTTATAAGGTCTTTCCCCAGGCTGATACCTTCAAGTGTTTTTCCTACACTTTCTTCAAGGATTTTTATTGTTTCATGTCTTAGATTTAGATCTTTTATCCATCTTGAATCAATTTTACGGAGTGGAGAAAAGTGCAGGTCCAGTTTCAGTCTTTTACATGTGGATATCCAGGTCTCCCAGCACCGTTTATTGAACAGGGAATCTTCTCCCCCCCGCCCCCCAGTTTATGTTCTTGTTTGGTTTATCAATGATCACGTGACTGTAAGATATTAGTTTCATCTCAAGGCTTTCAATTTGGTTCTAGATGTCCATGTCTCTATTTTTGTGCCAGTACCATGCTGTTTTGACCACTATGGCCTTGTAGTATAGCCTAAAGTCTGATAGGCTGATGCCTCCAGGCTTGTTTTTATTACTAAGAATTGCCTTAGTTGTACAGGTTTTTTTTTTTTTTTTTTTGGTTCCATTTAAAACAAAGAATTATTTTTTCCAAATCTTGAAAGTAGGATGTTGTTTTTTCAATGGGGATTGCATTGAATCTGTAGATTGCTTTGGGAAGTATAGACATTTTAACAATGTTAATTCTTCCCAGCCATAAGCATGGTATATTCTTCCATTTGTTAATGTCTTATGCTATTTCTTTTCTTAGGATTTTGTAATTTTCTGTATAGAGGTCCTTCACCTCTTTTGTTAGGTATATTCCTAAGTATTTTGTTTTCTTTGAAGCTACTGTGAAGGGAATTGTGTCTTTGATTAGCTTCTTATCTTGGCTATTATTGGCATATACAAAAGCTACCAATTTGTGGACATTGATTTTATATCCTGAGACATTACTGTATTTTTTGATGACTTCCAGGAGTCTTGAGGTTGAGTCTTTGGGGTTCTCTAAGTGTAAGATCATATCATCAGCAAAGAGGGTGAGTTTAACTTCCTCTGCCCCCATTTGGATGCCCTTTATGACCTTCTTTTGCCTGATTGTATTGGCTAGAACTTCCAGCACTATGTAGAATAGTGGTGGAGATAGAGGACAACTTTTCTTGTTCTACTTCTGAGTGGAAAACCTTTCTGTTTTACTCCATTTAGTATAATATTAGCTGTGGGTTTGTCGTAGATGGCTTCAACCAGTTTAAGAAATGTGACACCTATGCCTGTATTCTTCGGAGTTCTAATTAGAAAAGGATGTTGAATTTTATTGAATGCTTTTTCTTCATCTATTGAGAGCGTCATACAGTCTTTGTTTTTGCTTCTATTGATATGATGAATTATGTTTATGGACTTGCATATTTTAAACCAGGCTTGTGACCCTGGAAGGAAACCTACTTGATCATGATGTATGACTTTTTTAATGAGAAGCTGTAATCTATTGGCTAGGATCTTATTGAGAATTTTTGCATCTATATTCATTAGTGAAATTGGTCTGATGTTCTCCATTTTAGTTGGATAGTTTTCTGGTTTTGGTATCAGGGTGATGTTTGCTTCATAGAACATGTTGGGGAAGATTCCTTTCTTCTCAGTTTTTGGGAATAGCTTCTGTAGTATGGGTATAAGCTCTTCTTTAATTGTTTGATAGAATTCTGGTGTGAAGCCATCTGGACCAGGGCATCTTTTTTTGTTGGG